ACAAATTAAGCCAGCTTGAGCTGGCTTAAGCTGGCTTTTTAAGCTGAACTAAGCTAAGCCAGCCATTCCTAACCCTACCCATATCGTCATCATTCCACAAAAAGCTTTGTATGTCTTCCGAACTTTCATTCAATAGACGCTAATATATAAGAATATTAGTGCCATATTTTATATTGTATTTTCTATAATTCATTTATACCTCATATTTTAACAAGCCTATTACGGTATCATAGGCATTTCTCATATCTTTCCAGGTCTTTGGAATAGGAATTTTTAATACTTCTACCATTGTGTAAACTTCAGAGTATTTAAGTCGGAATTCGTAGATAATCAACTGATATGCTGTAAATATCAAGAGCTAGTAACTCGCGAAAATAACAAACAACACATAAAATAAGGACTTACAATATGACTGCATTGCATATAGCTTAACCGTTCTAATATTAGAATTTGGGCGTAGTTCTGCGAATCTATTCATTAAAGTCTTGAGCATTTTTGTGATCTTCATTCTATCTCCTTTGAAATGTGTCCAATCCTGTTTTGACGGAGGTCCGCTAACCTCAACTATGGAAAATTCTTCATCCTCCTCCTTTAATGTAATAATCGTGTCGATCTTCCTACCAGGAGACCTATGTTTATCATCTTCCTTCTGAGCATTGCAGTCTCTGGCACTCGCTTTAAGGCAAGTATCTCCATATTGTGCACGCCAGCTCTTTTTATTTTTGATAAAAAATTTATTAAGGATTGGCGCTAAAATGCTAACTATGTAAGTTCCTTCTGATATGGGTTCAAGAAGCAAGTTTGTGTCTTCCATCATTTCTATCCTGTATAAATCATGATTAGTTTCATTTCATTAGAGATTAAAAGATATAGATAAAGACTCACATGTGATTCACAAAGTACAAAGCAAAATTTATTTCAAATGAATCGTTGCACTCCTTTTGTTTAAGTTTCTTTTTAGTCATATTAATATCACGAGAAATAATTTCATTAAATAATGATTTAATCTCTTGTTCTATATTGTTTGGCATTTTTTTCTCCTCCTCCCTTATGTCTTTATTCATTAGTGCAACTGTATCTTCTCCTAATGTTTCTAAAAAACTATTTTTATCTATAGCATTAAAGAAAATTACATCGTAGTACTCCGGCTTAGTTTTTGATAGTTCTGTTTTTAGCTGGTATTCAGTGAATTTTTGTCGAATGTCAAGACTGTTTACAATCCAAGAAGCATTTTGACCGCCAATTATTGTCTGATTTGCATTGTATTCTTCTTCAGTATCATCTTCCTCTTCAGAATCAAGGTAATGTTTGTTGCCGGCTATGGATGGATTTGAGTCAACTTGGTTGAAAATGAGCCTCGGAATATATTCAGGAGATTGTTCTGGGGATGTATCATATCCTGTAGTTCTAGTCATAATTTGTTGTTCCGGTGTCTTTGATCCACTCACTGAAATATCTGCTTGGGTGAATGTCGTATTTAATGTGGCGTTGGCAGATTTTGCGATGTTAACTAATAGTGAAAGCTATATATAATTTGAGCTATATGGTTTAGTAAAATGATATTTATCTGAATAATTTCAACATTGCTTACTCTGTCTTGAAAAATAGCCGATCTAGCCGAACAAGAATTAGCCTTATTTTCGAGAGCTTCTAGCATTTTTGAATTTTGCTTTTTTTGAGCTGCATAAGTATTGAGAAATTCTTTCGCCTTAGCCTTTTGCTCGCCATCAAAATCGGGTGATTTGATAATATTCTGCAATCCTTCCTTATAAAAGTATAAGCAGTTTTTCCTGTTAAATACAGATTCATCAAATGACTTGGCAAAAGAACACAAGTCCCATTGTTCGGATGACTTATTAATAAAATATGGGTCAATAAAGTTCTTCATAGAGCCTATCAAAATTTTCGACTTTTCTCTTTCTTCAAAAGTTGCCATTTCATTCCATGAACGAATTAATAAAGAAAAATTACAATTTAGAAGCGTGAAAAAAAGACTTTTTTATTACTCATTTGTCTTGTTTCCTCTATATCAGGTAACAGATCTAGTGATGCCCATCATAAGTTATCATATGGTTACACGTGAAAAATAACGATGCGTAAGATTTGTCGCAGACACTAGAAACGTGTACTCTCACGGAGTATTCAATAATTGTCCTAAGCCCATTTTCTTGCGACGGTGGGTTAAGTCTTGCGAACGGGCAATTATCACGTCTGTGCTTTGTCCTAAGCCCGTTTTCTTGCGACGATGGGTTAGATCTTGCGATGGACTGGCACTGTCTTGCGATTCCTCAACACAACTCTTTCTTTCATAATACGTGCATTTTATTAAACAAAAAGTCCAACATTATTATTAATACTGTCAAGTGAAATATATCGAAGGGATGGGTATGTGATTTATAGACCCTTTTTCACGGTTTGAAAATTTTACAGCTAATATATATTTCACACCTGCCCACATAAACCACCGAGTCCAAAGAATTTTTTCTAGAAGATAGAATTCGAACAGACTGAAAAGCATAAACTTATTTAACGTATTACTATACTATTATAACAGGTAATTTTTCACTTTGATTTTTGTTTTGCAAGTACTGTACTATACTACGCTAAACTTAATTTATGTTAGACAAAGTTCATATTTAAATTTCACTATCAGCGAAAAAAATATAAATCACAGAATATATACCAGACTCATGTACGGTATATTTAAGAGAATAAAACATCTTTAATATGTTGTTCTGAATAATTAGCTATGGTTTAGTCATAATTTATATAACACGAAGTAATGATATATTAATTTTTTTTAACACTAATATTATGTTTTCCCCTGAGTATCTAATAAAAAAGCACACACTTCTGAAGTTAAAAAATTCGATTTTGAAAAGTTGGATGTTGAGGATAAATTCAAGGAAAACCCACAAGTTTCTGGTAAAAATCATTCGCAGAATTTATTCTGACAGTTAACAAATATCTGCGTCAAATTATGCCAAAAACAGAAAATAAAAAACTACCATTTGCGCCTGAACACTTGTTCTCACAGTGGGGCAGTAAGATTTTACAAATTCTGCATAACGTTAAACTTTCATATTTAATTATTCGAGGACATAATAGATGAGTCAGAGACTCGAAGTCAGAGAAAATTCGCTTATATATTCCATCCGCTACTTTTTTGCACGTTTTGCAATATAGATGTGAATGATGATTGCATTCGTCACAGACCTTACACCCGTGCTTCCAACCTCTAAAGATATGCCACTTTTCGAAGTAATTTTTTTTATTTGTTAATACGTTACTCTTATCTTTCATTGTTATATATTAACAGAAAAAATATAACGTGGCTAAATTTTTTATTATACAAACCTGTAATATGTGGCAATTGCGTCCTCGCCTATAAATAAATTATGCATAAGCCAGGATTATTATTTATATGCAGAAATTTTTTATACGTATACCGATATAAATATTTTTGAACCCTTCATTTTTTACATTTATTACATCTAATTTAATATATGGCGCAGTAGTCATGTGAGTGTGACCTCCAAAGGTCACGTCCACGTGACTTATACGAATGATTCTGTTGGGGTTTTATCCGGAATTTGAGATATTACATGATTAATTTGATTTACAGTTAATTTAGAAATCATCAATGCAGAAAAAGAATTCACCCGCATTATTTTATCTATTCCTATCTTACTAAAGAGATGAAAGATTTTTTGGGTTCTTTCTTTTCTTTTCCGGATAGTAGTTTCAGGAGTACTATCGGGAAGTTGTTTTTCAATTTCTTTATTTACTTCACTATTAGCATCATTTACATTATAAGTTTTTTCATAATGAAACTTGAAGCGTTTCGCTATGGCTATCCCGAAGTTATAGTATTGAATAATTACTTTCTGACTTTGTTTTTGATTTTCACTTTCAGCAAAGGTAATTTTAGTATATAAATTTAGAAAATCGATAGATTGTAGGTCAGTTTCGGTAGCTATGACTTGGTAAGAAGTTATTTTATCTGTGTTTTGTTCAGCGGTGTTAGATTTTAATTCTGTAATAAGTTTTTTTATAGTATTAGAATCTTTCTTATTACCTTTTTCCTTATTCTGTTTTGATTTTTTATTGGATAATTTATTTTTAGTAGTATCTTTGTTAAGTCTTTTTTGACTCTGTTTTGTATAGTCTGAAATGAAGAAATCCGATAAGGGGAGATTTAAACTATGAGTTGTATCTGAGGTTACTATATCCCCACTTTGACTAGATGTCATTTGTGTCATTTGTGTCATTTGTGGCGAAATTTGCATTGGGTCTGAGGTATTCTGTGCCTGATCCTGTGAACTAGGTTCAGAAGTACCAGAATAACATGTATAATCAATAGATTCAATTTCCATTGCACATTCAGGGCATTGTGGAAGATTTTTTACATAATCCTCAAGACAACTACGGTGGTATATATGTCCACAGATGAGTATGGTAAATGGTTTTTTAAGTTCATACAAAAAAAGCTCTTTTTTACACTTTGAGCATGGATCTAGTTCTGGAACTTCAACACCTTTTGTAATAATCTCTGGGATGCTGTTTTTAAGGATATTTAAAGCAAGGTTTTTAAGACATAAAATATTTTTAGGTGTTGGGTTAGTAGACATATCCAAGAATAAAATTTTTTATGGTTGAGAGTTAGAATATGGTATAAAGAGTTATAGACAGATAAGTATTGCAGTTAATTATATACTTAGCTCATTTTTATATATTAAATGTTTTAGAGACTAACAAACCTAATTTGCAGATTTATGAAAACTAATTTCGGGTTTGGCGATTCATTCATTCACAAATTATTTAGTATGAGTCAGGATCACTTGATCTTCACTGACAATCTGAATATTTTCAGCTAAAAAGTAATTGAGATGCATAAAAAATATAAACCTGTCACAAAAAAATATATTGGCCTACGAAAGATAAGTATAATTTCACACATCCTTCTCCTCCTTCTCATGGCTTGGATATAGATAATAGGCTTGAAAATATTTCCTTTGAAATCGAAGACATTATTGAATATCTTGAGATAATAAAGGATTATATATCATCTATGTTATATGACAAGTTTCGCAAAGACATTGATAACCTTACAAATAATTATAAGTCCTTAGAAGATAAAATTCAGGATATACTGTATTATACGAATCACCTTATGCTGAAGAATAAAAAAATAAATGGTAAAGTCGACTTGCAATCCCTACAATAGGAAATGAAAATTCTATATCTTAAAATAAAAGTCATAAAATTCTGGTTGTTCAGTTTTTAGTTTTTTAAGATCTTCAGCACCATTTTTAAATGCATTTTTAATTATGTTTATTACTTCTGCTTTTAATTTAATATACTTAGCTTTGCATTCTGACTCTAATACCCATAATCTTCCTACCAGTTCATTTAATAAAATTTCTGATTCAAATTTTTCAGCTTCCAAATAATTCTCAGGAGATAATCCGTTAATAAATATTTCTCTAACCTGTTTTTTACTATCACTGGTACTAGCTTTTACTTTCATATAAAAATCCATTACCGAATCATTAACTTGTTTAACCATATCTATAAACTTTCGAATTAGATATTTATTATATTAGAAAAAAAAAATTTATTATAGAAAATATTATCTTTGTCTTGGTTCATTGAGTGGGCTAGACTCGATAATTCCTATTATATTCCAAACAAGTAAGACACACATTTCCTTCTATATGACCCAGTTTGTTATTGATTCTATCTGCTGTCCATTGATCTAGATCTCCTGCATTATCTCAGTCCTATTTCATTTCTATATTACAAGATGTACATATATCTTTTTTGCAAATCTTTTAACTTAAGAATATAGTCAACAGATAGATTGAATTCACAGTCTTTTTTCTTATCTTGATCCATATATCCTACGAGTTTTCCAGAAATAAATGATCTTAAGGATCGCTCAATTGCTTTCTTATTTTTTGCTTCCTCAATCTCAGGAGGTAATGGGGAACCTTCAATTCGCACAAGTTGATTCAAATATTCTACACAACCTACTGCAAGATATATTAGATTATCTCACACTAAATGTTCATCAATAACCCAAACTCGTTGTGGAGCTTTAAGCATCATCCCTTAACTAGTATGCACAGTCATAGCATATCCCAAATTCCAATCAAGTATTTTTTCTTCGCTTAATATATCTTTTATAAATTTTTCAGGAAGCATATTCAACGATAAATATACTATATCATTTTTTACTAGTTCCTGTTTCTCAGATGAACTGGGAATTGGAACGAGGCAGTTTTGTTTACGTCCATCTCTTGGCCTATATATTAATGGAATCGGTAGATCTGAATATTTAATATGATGGAGTTCAAGGCATTTTTGCGATGCAATTCTTCGAGATAGGCGATGTGCTGATAATATGTGATCTGAGAGAGTCTATTCCTTTTCGAGACATTCCTATTTTTCTATAGTTAGGAGAATTTCTCAAAATAATTTTGATTGTATTCAATTATTTTGTCGACGCATAGCTTTTTTGAGTTCATGTAATTAGGACATTTTGCATGATAATCAGTTAAAACTTCTTCATAATAATCAGCATGCTCTTTTAACCAATTATGTGGCATTTCTCCGAAGAATGGCAGAGGTTGTGCATCATCACCGCAACAAATTACCTGGCATTTATGTTCTAATAAATAATTAATGAACATTTCAAGAATATGCTTAGGAACTGTACATACCTCATCCCAAATAACAACTCGTGGAAATTTTTTCTCTCCCATGCATTCAGGTGTCCACTCTCCCACTCTATTTTATTTGAAGAAACTATGCCAGGTTTGAGCTTTTACATTACGTTTTTCTTGAAAATCTTTAGCTAATGCATTTGTATGAGTAAATACAACCATGTTTATATTTTTGAAAATTCGAATTGCACACGTTGTTTTTTCTGAACCACCTCCTCCATTAAGATATGATTTCCGACATCTTGTAATAGGATCATGAATCGAAGGTGCTGTACTTTTAGGAATATTTTTGATCGATTCCCAATGTCTATTCTTTGGCCAGTATACAATATTGGTAACTGGTCTATATATTTTTTCATCTTTGTCACGCCATTGACTGGATTGAATTTCTTGGATTTCTTGTTCTTCTGGTTGATGTGAAAGAGCATAGAAGTCTGGTTTATAAAACCATTCCCCAAAGCAAAATCTGCAAACAAATGGTTTATGTTTTTTGCAATTATATTTTACTAAAGGCCTTTTTGTTTTTAAAAACTCTTTAATCCATTTTGCATATTCAGATTTTGAAATAAATAATTCTTCTGGATCAGTACACATTGCACAAAAAGGATAGTGTGAACATAAATTTGGATCTGACTTTATCTCAACTTGCTCGAAGAATGCCGGTATATTTTCGATCTTATATAAAGTCTCTTTTCGTATATATATAGAATCTGTAGCAATCCTTACTACTTCATTAGGATCAAATCTCTGAAGCATCTCTAACAAATTAATATACGCATATGCTAACATTGAGGCCTGCAAATGTGTATATTGAGGTTGATGTCCCTCATAATATGTAAGTATGAATCTGAGTGGACATTTTTCTCTTCCGACAAAAGTTCCAGCATTAGTACAATCTTTAATCAAGAAATCAAGCTTACCTTCATCTGTTACAAGTCGATGAGTAAGGCATTTTTCATCAATCTTGCCACCTTGTGTAAACTTACCTATAATTGCACAACTAATATCTTGACTTCTAGGTAGCCATACTTTGGTCTGTTTAGTAAGTGAAATTATTGCCTCTTTATTAGTCACACTTTCTAGAATACCAATCTAAAGAAGATATCATAGAAGTACAATAGGTGCCCATCCTTTTTCTTTCCCACATCCTTCTCCACTTCGACATGCAAAATGTTTTCCGTACCAGACAAGAATCGCTGAATGTATATTTAATGCAAATTTAAAAGATCTTACCTGCACAAATCTAGTGATATCATCCTCTGGCAATTCTCCATTTACTGCAACTCGAACAAGGTAGTGTATTGGATGTCCGAACCTATTGAACCATGGTGTACATTCTCCTTGACCTCGCATGCTTGCTGGATAACATTCTTTCATATCGATACATATAACATCATTGACGTGATAATCGGGTGCATTCTAGCGTCCACCATGCCCATGCTCGATATAGGCTTGCCTTATATTTTCATTTACTTTTCCAGATATTGGATGCCATTCATTGATTTTATTAGCGAGTCAGCTTTCAGCATGGTTTGCACCAAATACCTGCTCTGCTAAATCAACAACTTTTAGAGACTCTGAAAGAATCGATTTCTTTTCCTTATTGATTATTCCTTCCCGATATTGCTAATCTATTGTATCATTGACCAGTTGTTTGCACGCTTCTATAATTTCTGTATGCTTTTTCCATGTTCTAAATGTGCGACCATCTTCTAGAACAAACTGAGATATTGTTTGACTCGTATTCCCTACTTTTATAAGCCAGATTGCTTGAGGTCCCCTGAGGGCATTACTGATAGCTTCCCATGTATCACCCTTATAATATTTGACCATTCAATCTCTTGGGAAGTGCTGGTTTCTTGGAAATGCATGGCCATTATGAACTACCATTCCGATTTTTTCATACTTACCTGATCAATACTTTCCACTATTAAATATAGTACTATGAGTTATATCAAGTAATGTAATTGGTCATTTGAGAATTTTTTCTAACTCTGCTACATCACATACTCGAGCACCTGGAATGCGCATTTTTTTCTCCCAATCATTTATTTTTTGCCAACGAATTTTTGTGAGTTCATGTCCTCTTTTGGCTTGATCAAAATGCTCTATTACTTGTTTAGCTATACAGTTAAGTGTACCATCTTTTATAGGCATTAATCGATTGACATCTGGCTTTCGGATTTGATATAATCCATAAACTACTGCATTGCTATCAAGTCTTTCTACTTCAGATTGCTCACTGACTTTTCTGACCAGAAATTTTTCATCTATTCCTACCCAAAACCCTAGTTTCATTTTCTTTATAAGTATAACATTGGGGCCATCCCTGATGTATTTTCCACCTGCCTTTTTTGATTCACAAATAGGCTCATATTTATCAATAATTTTAAAAGCGATCTTTGTTTGAGATTCATCTCCATATACAGAATCATTTTTAATAAATTTTACTTTTATTAAGAACTCGCCATTGTCAATTGCATTTAAAATTTCTTGGGCTCGCTCTTCGGTCATCCCAGCTTTATATTTTTTGGATTCTATTTCCGCAAACCAGGTTGAGAAAGCATATTCAGCACCATCTACTTTAAACATGTTTTTTGCTATCTGAATACCCTTTTGCTATACTTCCTGATGCCATTCTTTATCTGGAAATGAAACTGGCCAAGGTACTTTTTTATCTAAATCTTTTGGATCTTTTTCAGACTCATCTCTTTAGTCAATGATTTCAGGAGTTGGGGTTTCCTTCCCTCAGTCTTTTCTTTGCCTTTTTCTATATACTTGAGTAGTTGGGCCAAATTCTGCTTCAGAATCTTCTTCTATTGGTTGGGATACTTTGGTTTTCTTTTGCCATTTACTAGAAGACTCTTCCATTAAATCAAACCATTCTATATCTGTTTTTGGGACCTTTTTATTAATAATAGTTGGGTTATTTTTTATCTTAGGATTCGCAAGCCAGTTAGCCAAATTCTCTATAGATAAATGCATTGTTTGGCCTCTTTTGGATCCTTCTTTTTCATGAACATAGACTAGAGAAGATGGAGGATTAGATGCTGGTGATTGAGGTCTGGATATATTAGGGTTAGGTGGATGAACCGGGTTGGGTATTCGGGTTTGTTTATACTTAAATTTTCTGTTAAGATGATTTGTTAAATCATGAGTCTTTTTAAAATTATTCTTTCTATATCGAGGACATTGGAGTACCATTTTTGATAGTAAGTGAATCAATTCAGTTCTTTGTATTAATAGTACGAAAACTTTTGTTTAAATAATAATTAATTATCCTCTTTCGATCTTTCAATTGATGGGAGATAGCCTGAAAAAATTTATATCTATTCTGAAAAATTTACACCTATTCTATTTTTTTATATCAGAATTACAATCAGAAAGACATTCAAAAGTAAGAAAACAAATTAGTGAACTTAAGGTTAACAAGCTTCAGAAAGATAAGAAGACAAATTAGCAAACTTAAAGTTAACAAAAGTTTAGATAAGTAAGAAAACAAATTAACAATCTCAATGAGAGGAAGGCATTAGAATTCAATCCCCATATATAAAAATTTACACCATGATTATAGAGCTTCTAATCTAATTCTAAAGCCAAGTAGAGTAGCAAAAAATAATATATTTTTTATATATGATAGTAAACCCTATAAGGCCCATGAGGACGTTCCAGTAGTATTTTTTTTTACACATTAAGTCTGCTCGCCCCCCCTGCTGCTAATATACTTTTTTATAGTTAGTTTAAAGTTTTTCTTTGTTGAATTTTTATAAATAAATTAATTAGAAAAAAAAATAGATAATACTTAACAAAAAAAAAGAATTATTCATTATTCTCCAAAGGTAGAAACAGAAAAGTATCAGTGTTGTCATATTTACTATGTTTGTTTTATTGACTTCTAATTTTATTTATTTTTTTTACTTTTTTATTATAAATTTTTACTATTAAATTTTACTAATTAAATATAAAACTATTTTAAATTTATTACTTTTTTTTTAGTATTAAGATAAGGTCATGCCTTCTAGTCTTTATTAGTATATTTGCTATAGCTAGTACAAATTTATTATACACTATATATTTATTCAAACAGAGGACTTAGACATATTTATTTGTGACCTAAACTTATTAAAGTTTTGTATTGTGTCCTACTTACATCTAACCTGAATTTTTGTTTTACTTCTAATTATATTAGATAGTCTATATATTTACTCTATGTCTCACAATCTATTTTTAACAACTCCCAAATTGGTTCATTAAGTCATTTACTTTTTTTAAACTACTATTTTTGGTTTACTCGAAAGATGCCTCTCTAGCACATATCTTAAGTCAGATTCTTGCTACTACTATTAACTTCCTAATTCAGGTACTGATAGCATGTATCTTAAATCAGGTTCCTACTATTACTGCTAGTTTGTAACTCTTTTTGGTCTTAATGTTATTTCTAATAAATTATACATCTAATCTGTCTTTTAAGTACTTTCTTTTATAATATAAATAGAACTCTATCTCAGAGATGAGTACACATCCTCTTTTAGCCATTGACCAACATTTCTACTATTCTCACATCATGTTGCAGGTTTTTCTTTGTTCTGTTTCTAATTATGAGCAATTATCCTGTCTTTTTAAGAACATTCTAGTCTAAATCTACATTTAGACTAAGGTTTTTATATCATATTTAAATAGGTTTCCACTTCTAATTTAAGTATCTTAATTATGATTGGTATAGTATTTATATTTGTATGTTTTATTTGTTTTACTATAGGTTTCTATATAGGTGTAACTAGAATTCTGTTTGAAACTTTTATATATACAAAACAGACTACAATTTTTTTATACAGTTGATTATCTTCTATTTTTAGTCATTCTACAGTACCAAAGATGTTTTTAATCTTGATAAGACTAATTCTTTGTCACAAACCTTCTATGCATATACTGCTTCTTTCACTATTTTAGTTCATGTTACCTTAGTATCATTCTCTTAATCAAGTACTTCATAAGTTAGATGCAGAGATGTTGGTACTGTTCTGTCTTCAGAGAACTTATATATGCAACTATTTGTACAATAGAACTTTTTGTGATGCCACTGTCACATGTAATGCTTATATTCTGCAAAGTCTATTTTCTTCTGGAAATTCTTTTTTCTGTTATATACTGTGCTTGGACTTAATTATAAGGCTTTATATTTAATTACAGGCTTTTTATACATTACAAAAGCTAAAATCTTTTGATTTTGCTTTTAGCCAGACTTGAACTATTAACTTTAACTGTAGGGGTATAGAAGCTTAACTATTAAGCTATGTAATTCACACCTTTTAAATTTATTACTTTATTAAGATTTAACAATATATATTTAAATAATTGCAATTTATTAATAAAAAAAATTTTTTATATAAATACAAAAAATTAAGCTTTTGTTCTATTGTTTTATTTACTAATACTAAAAAGTATATAGTATTTTATTTTAAAAATAAAATGTGATTAACTATATTATAAGTTAATTAAGTTCTTTTTGCTAAAATATTTTTTTTAGTATTAGAAAATAATTGTTTATTAAAAACTAATATTATGAAAATTAAAAGGTATTTATGTATTAATTATTACAAAATAAGATAACTTGTTTGATGTTTTTATTAGGATTAACATTTTTTAGTTTTTTAGGATAATATAAATAACAATTTTATTTTTTATTTATATATAATTATCAAATCATTATTGGTTAATTTTTGTTTAAACTAAATATATAAATCTCTTAAAAAAACTTAAATTGTATTTTTTGCTATATATGATTTAGCCTTTTATAAATAGAAAAATTTTTTATTTTAAGATTTAATATTATTGTAATTAAAGAACTTTTTTAGTTATTTCTTTAAAAAAATATATACTGTATCCCTTAGATTGTAACACAGGCAAATTTGGTTGCATTAATTTTTTTAAAATTAATTTTTATAATAAAATTTTAACAATTAATTTTAGCAATATACTTTCTAAGTAAA